GTGCTCACCATTTTTTGCTTCCTTATCCCACTCGCAAAGTCAAGCCCCTGCTTTGGCTGACGCGGCCACCTAACAACCAAAGGCGGCCCTGATCCCTTCCTGAATGTCCACTAAAAATAACTTGTTGCCCTCGTTTGACAAGTGAATACCATCCTCCCTATAGAGGGCAGTCTTTCTGAACTCTATTCCAGGGTGTGGTAAATACTGACCCAGACCACCTTCCATAACTTTCTTTATCTGTTTTTTAACCTTGCGACGAGCCCGGTCGATGTGTCTGGGATCCTCCAGGTTGCACCATACACGCCGTGGTAAAATTGCAGAACAGATTACTTGCACCCTGGGCCATCTTGTCCGTATCAGTTTCAGGTCTTCTGTGGCCTGGATAACCAGGGCCTTGCCTTTCATCAGGCCAAGATCATTGCCACCCAGGTGCACCAGTAAAATATCAGGAGGCGGCCCACGCCGTTCCTCAAACAATAGGAGGAGTAATCTGGGCCAATGCATGCCATTCCTTCCCCACCATTCAACCAACGCCAACTCACTCAGCCCCAACTGAGAACCCAACGTTGTCCTCTTGGCCTGATGAGCGGCCCAAAAAAATCATACTGTGGCCGCAGATGGTGACTCTCATCCGTGCCGGCCAGCCCACAGCACCAGAAAAAGAACTATTTTAGAACTCCAAATTTGCACTGACGTTCATACCCCTTAAAACTACGGGATCTCCATCGTCCAATGCCTTGTATGTCTTCCCCCGAATACCCCATGGCAGCAGCCATGAAAGCAGCTCCAATTCTAAATGAATGGGTCCCAAAACAGAACCCGCCTAGACCCAATTGACTAAGCGCTCTCCGCGTCAGTGTCCAAAATTGAAATTTTGTGAGAGGGGACGCATCCCTATGCTGAAATAATGTCCCGTCCCTCGACCCCCTGAGCCTCACGTAATGGCGTAACACCACCACCGGGCATAATTCAGAACAATGCCCCAACTCTATTACTGAACCCTTACCCCTTTGATCAGTCTTTGACCGCCGAATAGTGATGGCCAAACTAGCCTCTCGGACCTTGATGTCAGTGAATCTTATAGCCCTGTTCGAAGTATCACTCCGTGAAGCAGGGACGAGCTCGCTAATACACAGAGCTCCAGAAAATGCTATTAATGACGCGAAATGAAATAGAGCAGCCTCGTATTCATCAGCACAAAGGCCGGGCCACAACGCACGCAGACCCCTCAAGAGCGAGAGAGTCAACGGTTCCCTGTCATCCCGAGGTTGTCCTGCTTCGCGGGTCCACCCGTCCAACATCTTTTTGACACGGAAATTGGTCGATTTGTCCTCATGCCCAGCCGCTTTAGCCGCGTAGGCGAGGGAAGACAGCCTGCCCCTTATCGAGCGAACTGACAAGCCCTTCCACTTCAAATAGACGCAAAACTGCATGAGTTGGGGAACTGGGATGGGTCAAACATGCCGTAATCCTGCCTCTTGCCTAAAGGCGACAAATTGTTGACCCACCCTCATGTATGCTTTTCACGTTGAAGGAGCGAGGGCCAAACCTATTGCCCGTTCAGCTTCAAGCCTCCAATCTGCCAAAAACTGGGAGGCATCCTTACCGGGCGTTCGTCCGCTTCCGGGGCCAGCTGACGGAATCTCCCCATCTGTTTTCGAGAGAGAGCGTCAGCAACCCCATTACACCCGGAACATGCCTAGCTCGAAACAACATATTATTCCTCAAACATAGTCATGTAAATGCCCTAACCAACGCCATGACCCATGCTGATTTGGATGATAATGAATTTATTACATGTACTGTGGCCTGATTGTCGCACCAGAAGTGGACTGTATGGTCGGCAAAATCAGCTGTCCAAATCCCTACCGCTACTACAATTGGGAAAAACTCCAAAAAGGTTAGGTCTTTGACCCAGCTTGCCCGGAACCATTCCTGCGGCCAGTCCTCAGCATACCAGTGCCCACTGAAGTATACCCTGAAACCTGAGGAGCCTGCTGCATTCGATGTGACCTGCATCTCGGCTTCTAACTGCAAATCTTCTCCCCAAAATGACACCCCATTAAATGAGCATAAAAACTCCTTCCATAGCAAGAGATCCTGTCGCATCCCATTAGTCACCCTGGTCCTGTGATGCGGGAGGCGGAGGCCCCGCATAGCATTGCAGAGCCGCCTGGCAAACGTCCGCCCCGGGGCCACCACTTTGCATGCAAAGTTGAGATGGCCCGCCAACTGCTGCAGCTCATAAAGTGATATTTTCTTAAGTCCTAGAAATTTCTCAACCAGGACCAAAAGGCATTGTAACTTCTCCAAAGGGAGCCTAGAGCACTGTTGAACTGTGTCTATCTCAATACCTAAATAAGTCAAATGTGGGGTGCCCCGAGGGGTGTTTAACATCTACATGCACCCCCTTGCCCAGATTGCCCGGAGGTTTGGGCTTGGGTGTCATCAATATGCGGATGACACCCAGCTCTTTGCCCCCATACTCGGAATAAAGAGTCAGACACGGAGAGTGGGATAACTATGGGCCACTTTATTAAATTCACAGTTGAAAATAACAGCAAGGG